GGTCAACTGACCAAAGCCACAGGGGCTCACAGAGACTGAACAGACAACCAGGGAGCCTGCTAGGACTGACCTAGGCTCTCTCCATGTATGTCACAGTTGTGTATCTTGATCTTCTTGTGGGACTCCTAACAGAGGGAGCAGGGGCTGTCTCTGACTCTTTTGCCAGCTTTTGGGACCCTACTCCTCATACTGGGTTGCCCTGTACAGCCCTAATACAAGGGGAGGTGCTTTGTCCTACTGCAACTTGATATGCATGGACTAGGAAGAGGGGAGGGAGGGGGAGAGGAAGGAGAGGAGAAAGGACCAATTAAACATGATAGTTCAAATACCTGATTTGCCATCAGAGATGGTATAGCATGTGTCTTTTTAAAAAGAGGTCTAAACTATGGGTTACAAAGAATAGCTTTATATAAAAAGACAAGAAAACGTTTAAAAGGACAGCACAAGAAAACACACCAGGTGACTAGAGGAAAAGTTGTGAGGCTACACTAATATCTTCAAAATGGATACCACGTCAAAAATTGTTACAAGGACTATATAAAGTGCATAATGTACCCAAAATAGGCAGCTACAAACATATGCTTCACACACCACACATACACACATCTATACCACACATACACATGTGAACGTTTACTCATACATACACCACACACACCACATACACACATATACACCACACATACACATGTGAACCTTTACCCATACGTGCCCTCCCCCATAATACACTACATAAAAGAAAACCTTTGAATGGGAAGGAAATGTATAAATTGCTGATACATTCACAGGAGATTAATCAGAAATCAAAATCCTAGCCAAGGGAAAAAAAAATCCTAGGTTCCCAGTGAATTCTCCAAACTTGGAGGAGAGGGAGCACTTCTTGCTTGTCACAAGGTTGTCATCATGAAACCAAAGGCAAGCAAAGAAAACTGTAGACACAAAAGTACTGAGGAGACACACTGAAAATCCTCAGCAAGTATGGAAAGACTGCAATTATATGAAATACATACTCTGGTCAATGGGAAGCAAAGCTAGAAATCAACAGAAGACAAATGGCAGTGGGTCTCTACCATGGCCAAGGGGCATCTGCTTCAGAATTGTATCAAAGTCCAGATAAGCAATATAAATATGCTGGAAAGGCATCCCGGCATTCAGGAAACACAAGGATCATTTGTCCTACTGTGAGAATTCTTATCTTCAGAGACGCATCTAAACTATATACAGAAGCTATATGGAGACGAGAAACAAAATTACATAGGCAGCCAAATGATTACATTGCTTTTCTAATTTTTTATGTATGGAATTTCCCAAATAAAAGTTTTAAAGACATACTTGGATTTTGTTTTTCATAGGCACTATGAGCTTAAAGACCAGCCTGAACAGGCTTTTGCCATTGTATGTATGCGTGGGGGAGGGGCTGTGTACACCCATGTGCATGTGTGTTGAATAAAGTTATGCCTCATGGAGTGATAAAGATTCCACTAAGGATCAAAGGACAACAAAACTCTCAGTGTCAGACCTCCCCTTGAATTGTTTGTTGGTCAAGGGAGTCAAAGAGACTCCCCAAATAATATGCTATCGTCATTGCCTTTGGTTGAACTAGATTTGACCTAGAAGCCTTCTCCCTGGGGACTAGCTTTCATAGTACCCAAAGAAACTATGAAAACTGCCAAGGGAGAAAAGCAATAAATAGCCTATTCAACTGTAAAGCTTATGAACCATATTAATGCATGCCCAGCATAGCAAGACATCCACAAAGGCGCAATAGTGGCAGTTACTATCTTGGGGATAACTAACACTTGACTAATTGAACATAAGGCCCAATAAGATAAGAGGGAATTCATGTTTGGTGTTGTAAAGCCAACCAACCTCTGGCTGGTGAGGTCATGAACCCTAGACAAGGGCTTCCTCCTGCCACTTTCTTAAATCACTACAAATCCTAACTACATTTTAAACACTTACCCTTAAACTCACAGGTAAGCACAGCCCTCACCCCTCATCCAAGTCTACTTCTTGCTGCACCAAATGGAGACTACAGAAATCTATGGCTGGTCAGGATGCAGAGAACAGCTGAACTTTGGGTCTCAGCCCCTGCTGACACATCTGCAACATAACACTACACCTAAGGCTCAGGGAACAGCATGGAAAAGGGGGCAGAGAGATTGTGAGAATCAGAGGAGCAGGATGCCTGCTGGGTGATGGTGTCCTCTATGTATGACAGGGAGGCTACACCCATGAAATCTTAACAATAAGACTGTCTAAACAAGACCCCCAAAATGACAATGCCAGTTCACACAGCAGTGCAGATGGAGGAAGTCTCACAAGGCCTCACTCCTAGATGGAGAACTGAAGGATATTAAATGATGGCTGAGAGGGAGAATTAGTTTTCTTTGGGATGAATCCCCTAATTGATTAATCCGATTAGTCAGCCCAATGTTCTCAACTGGCTGCTTTTATATGGCAAGTGGGAGGAATTGGAGTGGGTAGAAATGATGTCAATATATTACTCATGTATGAAATTCTCAATAATTAAGATCAGGGAAACTTTTCAAAGCGTAGTACAAAATACAGGGATTACAATGCTAACAATCGAGACACATTAAAGCCATGTATGACAAAAACACAGATGGTGTTTGCAACTGGATTCAGCAGTGAACTGATGTGCAGAAGATAAAGAGTTCCTGCATCTGGGTGGTAATGGCACACTCCTTTAATCCCAGCACTCGGGAGGCAGAGGCAGGCGGATCTCTGTGAGTTCGAGGCCAGTCCGCTCTATAAGAGCGAGTTCCAGGACAGGTTCCAAAGCCACAGAGAAACCCTGTCTCGAAAAACAAACAAAATAAAAAGTTCCTGCAAATCAATAAACAGTAAAAATGTTTGATGTTTAAAATCTGATGCTCAGAATGAAGAGTAAAAGATGGGCAGGTACTTAATGTCACTTATAAGCAACATGTAAGTGAATGACACAGTTAAATATTAATGACATGCCCACTACAGGGCTATGAAGGGTTTCAGAATGTGGGATGACTGGCAAAAACAAAACAAAAACTGTCTAGATGCTTGTGAAAGTGTAACTTGATGTGAGCTCAAGAGCCATTTGGCAAATATCACTGATTACTGTCAGCTCCTGGCTTGTACTCCTGAGGTAGGGCACACATGCCCGCCCAAGGAGAGTGCTGGGAGGGGCCTGTCTGGCCATTAGGGGGCATTACTCTCCCTCCATGAAAGTAAATCAAAAAGAATGAATCAGTTTATGCATCTACACTGACAAACTCTAAAAACAGTTGGTTGAAAACAGCTGTGATAAAAGGACACTTAGATAAACTGTGAAAGCCCACAAAAGGAAAAACCACATATTCCTGCATATGCACATACAAGTAAAGTTATAAGGAAACATTGAAGGGCATGATATGCAGCCCTGGAATCTGTGAGAAAGAAATGATGTGAGAGCCTGATCTCAGAAACTTGGGACACCATTATCATATGGCATTTGTATCTGAGACATGGATACAGATGACAGCATAAGCACCACAGCACAACTGAAAGCTGACTGGGTCAGGAGCCAGTGGGCAGAGGTAATTCATATGCTGACATAAAATGCATACCAAGAAAAGAGGGCCTTAAGGGTAAGCCAATCCTTGTTTAACAATCTCTAAATCTACTCCAGCTGTTTTTGTCATTTTGCTATAAGCCAGGGTCATCTGGGAACAGAGACCCTCAATTAGGAAAACACTGCTATCAGACTGGCCTGTGGGGCATTTCTGTGATTGCTAATTGATGTGGGTGGGCCCTGCTCACTGTGGGCAATGCTATCTACAGGCAGGTGGTTCAGAGCTGTATAAGCAGGCTGAGCAAGCCATTCTTCCATGGCCTATGCTTTGTTCCCAGCCTCCAGGTCCATGCCCAGACTCCCTCAGTGATGAAATATAACTATGAATTAACTTAGCTCCCCAAGCTGTTTGCAGGTCAGGGTATTCATCACAGCAGTAGAAAGCAAACTAGGACACTATTATTAACACAAAATCAACTATCAGTAGGCCCTAACACTCCCCCCACAACCCTAACTACCACAAATTGACTTCTAGTTAAAAAAAACTAGGACACTATTAACACAAATCAATTGTCAGTAGGCTCTCTCACTCCTCCACACCCCTAACTACCACAAATTGACCTCCAGTTCAAGGCTGATGAAAGTCACCTGCCCTCCCCTGTGCCCTTTCTGATGAAGAACTTAGAGTAGCTCTCCTCAGAACAGTTGTGTGTCCAGTATTTGGCTGGATACTATTAAGGACTCCAAGAAGACTCATCTCTTCTGGCTCATCTACAGCGACATAAAGTTGATTTCTCCAGGTGAAACTGAGAGCCCCAAACTTAACCCCAGAGAACCAGACTGACCTTTAATTCAAACTGAGTAGTCCAAGGACCTCAAAACCCATCATGTCACTGTACTGTGCCACACTTCCCAAAGCCCTGGGGATCTTGTGGTTGTCCTGTTCACATTGGACTACTCTCACCAGATGTACACCAAGTTCTTCAAAAAACTATTCAAATATGCTAAAGAAGACAGGGAGAACTGAGCCCCAGAACTTATGGCCACTCTTCTAGAAGAGACCCAGCATGACATAACTAAAAGTAGCTCAAAATCAAGAGTAAAAATAAGGTGTGACTAAATTCACACTAGCTCTTTTGCTCAATTTCACATTAAGTTCCATTATACCTATTCAAAATGGCACACTTGATACAGAATTTGGTCCATTCCATAGGTACACAAGCTAAGATCTGCACTTTGGCAGTATGATTCCTAAACAGGCCTGGTTAATCACTATAACAATGTTTTTATAAACCTGAGACTTACAATGAATGATTTTACAACTTGCCACAATATACAATCATGAACTTCTGCAACCATTGACCTTAGTATCATGGTAAAAAACGTCTGGAATAAGGTGTTTCCTAAGAGCCACAATTTCTAACAGAAAAACAACAAAACTAATGAACTTACTCAAAAGCACAGTATTTATTATAAATAGAAAAAAAAAACCCACCTTAAATGGCATTCATAGGGTAACAGAGTAATATTAAAATGTTAAAAAAACACATCATATTGTTTGGAGCCAAACAGTGCTCATATCTATACAGATTATGCATTTTTAAAGTTGTGTTGACATGAGGCTAAAACAACTGTATTTGTATTTTCAAATAGACTTTTCTTTCCCCCATGAATTATCTTGCTTCATTATCTTCTAGGAGAGCAAAGCAACTTACCTAAATATTCTTTCCTAAATGTTTAACATCATACTATGGTTTTCCAGTTATGTTTAGAAAGATGGAAAACTCTTTGAATAAAATGTTTTTTCCCCCTTCCATCTCTTTAGCAATGTAAAACTTAAAGCCCCAAGCCATAACAAAATATCAAAACCCTGCACAACATCCTGATGCTACAAGATACCTAGCAGTATCAAGCTTCCTCCAACCCCTTTCCCTGTCCTTTTATCCTGGATTTCGGGAGTTCCTCTGACTGCACCTCAAGAGTTCAAGAGGATGTGGGTGGAGCACTAGCCGCAGGTCTGGCCCTACTCTCCTCATCCGCCAAGGCCTCGCAGTATTGTGTGGGCCAGTCTTTGGGGTCCTGATTATGAACTTTGGCCACAAACTTGAGAACTTTCATCTTGCTGGTTTCCAGGTTGGTTCGCGGGCCCCACTGTAACTCATAGTCCACGGGATCGGTGTGGGGTATCCTCCGGTACTCCAGGTAGCGCTGCCGCACAAAGTCTTCAGTAATGAGTTTCTTTGGGTCACCAAAAATTAAATGCTTCTTGGTGGGGTATACCCCAAGCCGCCGCAGGAAGTCCCAGACCTCGGTCTCAGTAATGGTGTTGCCTTTCATGAAGATGAGCCCCAGGACTATCATGAGCAGGCCCGTGGTAGGTGTACCTTGGTCGCCCCTCACTTCCGCGTCCTCCTCCACAGGCTCTAGCATGTTGATAAGGATGTAGGTGTGGCTCTTGGGCTCCAGCTCCACTAGCTTGTACCCGAACACGTACTGTAGACGCTCGGCGGCCAGGCGCATCAGGTTGGGGTACACGTCCCGGTAGTCACCCACCACGTGCTTCAGAATGTCGGTGCGCTTGATGGGGATCTTCTTCTGGTCCTTGATCAGCAGGAACTGCACTAGCTCGGCCACCTTCAGTTCCAGTTGCTTCTGGGTGCGCGGCCCCACGGCGGGGGCCGACAGGGAGGCGCGGGAGCCCTGGGACGTGCCGCCCGTGCCGCGGGACGTGCTGGGCGCCTCCTCGCCTGCGCCTCCCCACTCCCGCTCCTTATCGGCCTGCGTGCTGGGCCGGCCGCGGCCCCTCGGCTTCTGCAGCATGTCACCCGGCCGCGGAGAGCTGGCTGCGTCCACCTCGCAGTAACCGCCAGAAGCCAGCGCGCCCGCGAGACTCCGGGAGGAAGAGCGGCGCTCGGGTGACGTCATATCGCCTGCGCGCCGCGTCCGGAGGCGGAGCGGTACAATTGGGAGTCAGCCTAAGGGGGCGGGGCATCCGCACGGCTACTGCGCATGCGGAGGGCCTTGGCCGTAGCTGCCTCTTCTGGGCTCCCGCCCAGGTTTTAATGAGTACCGAATGGTGTTTATGGAATCATATAAATAGAAAACAAGAACCAAACTCCTCGGCAAGTGCACGGCTGAATTCTAGGGCACACAGGTTTATGCTGAGTTTTTCAATTAGAAAATGTGTATGTGGAACATAAAGGATAAATGTGTGTGTGGTGTGGTGAAGACCTGGGAAGTAAAGTAAAAGCGTTTATTTGGTTACCAAATGAGGGCATGAAAGACCCAAAGGTACCTTTCTGGGCAGTCATATCCTCCTAGTCAGTTAATTGTGTGTGTGTGTGTGTGTGTGTGTGTGTGTGTGTGTGTGTGTGTGTGTAATTATTCTCCAAAGCAAGATTTCTCCCACTATTTCCAGACTCAATTCTTTTCATTAAGCTTCAGATAGATGAGTATGAGAAACCACATAAGCATCGCCAATAACGTGTTTTAGCTTGGTAATGTGAGCTGACCTTTTGGGAGACGGGTTTGAGAAAACTGCCTTGAACTCACACCCACAATTGTTAACAGAAATGGGGTGTTAGAGGAATGCTACCCCCGGAGACACTTGCTTTCTCCAGAGAATACCATTTAATTTAGGTTGCCAATAATTGGGAGTAGCAATAATGTGGATCTCTTAATTTTCTTCCTTAATATATAAGCTTAAAAATCTCAGTAAGAGCAGAGCTAGCATCCTTTACAATTTGCGATGTGTGCAGTTTGTAGATGGTTTAAATTGTGCAACTCTAATAGACAAAATGAGCCATTCCATTAACTCAAACCATCAGCAGTCTGTTGCCATTGATGCTACAGATCTAAGTAAATGTGTTTCTTCTCCATTTACTGACAAAGAAACTGAGTTTTCCTCTGTCTTTTTAAAGCTACAAAGAAAATAGGTAAACAGTCCAAGGAATGAACTCAAATTGATTTCCTCTTTAATGCAAATATATTCAGAGGAAAGCAATTCAGATCACATTATTTGAATAATAACATCAAAACATGGCCTTATTAAAATTTCATTAAATGTAAGCAGCATAAAATTTTTGTTTATAATTCAATATGAAAATTCAGTCTGGTAATGGGACCTGCAATGCAAATATAAAATCCCACTCCCTGTTGTGATTCAAGTATCCTGAAACCTTGTGAGTTATGAGCAGTGACTCTGTTCCACACAGGGTGCACAAGACATCCTCAAGTATTGGTGTAAATTACAAAGGCTGCTACAGTTTGAATGTGTCCTTCAAAGCTCACATGTTGGAAACGCAATGTTCAATGCAGCAAGCAGCACTGTTACTTCATGAGTGAATAAACACTATATTCTCAGTAATGGGTTAAGAGTGAGTCTATTTTGCCATTGTAGTCTCTCTCACCATCTCATGATATAGTGACTCTCAACGGATGTTGCACCTGCGCTTAGACCTCCCAACCTCCAGAGCCATGAGTGAAATACAATTTCCAAATTATTCACTTATAGTATTATTTTACAGCTACACAAACAGATTACGACCAACTAAATAAAGCATAGCACCACGGCATTCTCTTTTGCTTACAGTGAGCTTCAGTTCTCCCGCAAACTGAAGTCTGTATTTAAGTTCATAGAAGCCTCCTGCAATGTAAAATTCTGCAAAAGGTCCTTCCGGAAGGATCAGTGTGCCTAGAGACAAACAATCTCAGCAGCCAGGAAATAAGAGAGAAATGGGAAATAAGCTGAGAACTGTTGTCAGCAATCAGGCTGGTTTTCAGTATTTTCTGAGCTAATTTCTCCACAAAGCACCCAGGAGCTCCAGCAGAACCCCCACACAGACAACAGGTGATCATGACTCAAAACACATGAAGAAAGATACCAATTTTAAGTCTTAAAACACCTTTTCCCAGAACGGGAATGAGAAAATACAGGCATAAAACAATGCTACTAAAATGTAGTCCAGAATTTACAATGAAGAAGTCAACCAAACCCCACATTCCACTTGATATAGACATCGTAGGCAGTGGAGGCTTGGGTAGAAGAAACTATGACAGTAACAATATTGATAATGGCAAATGACAGCAGCTAATGCCTTTACAAAGGTAAATACTGATTCCTTAGCCTGTGAGGCCTGTTAATTGCTGTCATTCACAGAGAAGCACAGACATGGGACCCTGAAGAAGTAAAGCTTTGGCATCGGGGAATCTAGACCATAAATCTGAAAAGGCTACCTACTGACACTCCAAATTTCAGCTTCCAGACCAATAACGTGATACCATTAATCCTGGATTCAAGGAATTAACTGAAACTTGTCTGCTAGGTGCTTAGCACAGGGTCTGGCAGGGGGTATTGGATTGCCATTTGTTTCTTTTCAGAGGGGTTATGCCAATGAGAATTTTGAGGATGATACAAAGTTGTGCCTGTGTAAAAGAGTTATAGACTTACTCTCTTGGGGTCCTGGCCAGGCCTAGGAATTAAATTCATGAGACAAATTTTTAATCTAATTTGATTTTTGTAATAATAGGGGTCAAATCTGGAGCTTCACATACATTAGGCAAATTTCCTACTGGTGAGCTATACCCACACACCATGAGACCAATTAATTAGACAAAAGTATATACCTTTAGTCCAAGTGTTACAGGACACTGGCCCTTATATAATGAAACAATGTTTCAAAGAAGTAGTGAGATCTGTATTTGAATTGTGGAAATGTAACTAAATTTTGTAGGAAGGCTAAAGGTTTCCCAGAGACCTCTTGGTCATGACCCAGTAATGTTTCTTTTCTCCATGGACAGGCACTTTGAGCTTGGAAGTTTTTATCTCCTGTTTTCAGGAGGAGAGGAGCTGAGGCTGCTCTTCTTTCATCTGCTGTTTTTCAAGTGTCTTAGCGCAAAGTAACCCTCATGCCAAAATGGCATATTCCGGGTGTCATATTTTGCTAACCTACACTAGAAAGATGTTCATCTCATTATATAAACGTGCACACATATAAAAATCAGGAAAAGGTCAGAAAGAAATATATAGACATCACTGTGCCATTAAGGCAGCACACTCTGAGAAATTAAAAGGTTGATTTTTGTTTGTTTGTTTGTTTAGAAGATAAATACAAATTATATCCTCAGCAAAGCCTCTGCAGTGACACAATGCTCTGCCCATTTTGTGGTTCAAATTTTTAGTAAATTCAATGTGATTAACATGTGGCAAGTGCAACTTTCTGTGGAAGCTATGAAGTCACAGAGATAAGTGATTAAAACAGAAAAGAAATTTTCAAATGCCTGTGTTAATGTAATGGCCTTTTGCATTTACCATCAGATCCCAAACAAAAGGGGGAAAAATAAAAACTCTTTGAGACAAACCCCACACTAGCTAAGATTTCAAAGGCACCGAGCAAGGCAACACAGAGCACTTTAACCATCTCTAAGTAATTAAATGCTTTCTTCCATCTCCTTGGCAGTGAATGCCTGCCAACAGGCTCTAATCATCTTTATTATCTACTGGAGGCTCCTCTCCATTCACTGTTATTTCTCACACAACCAGAAAAAGATTTTAAAACCTCTGAGAGCAACATGGTGCTAAAAGCAGGTGAGGACCTTTGGGGAAGAAAGAGAATGATCAAAGCATGCAGCTAGCACACATGAGCAGCTCCCCTGCTTTTTTCTGAGGGAGGAAAATGGGACAGTGTGCAGCAGGCGTGTGAAGGAGTTGAGGCACAAATACTGCTTTTGGTGCTAGGTAACAACAATGGCAACTGAAACAATTTAAAGGATTCAGTAATGTTCTTCATGTCTACTCACTGTTTACTCTTAAACCTGTGTTTACCCATCCCTAACAAAGGTCCTCCAGATCAGACTACATGACGAACCTCATAGAACATTGTGTTTCTAGTAAAAGTTGATCAAGCCTAGCAGAACTGGCTGGGGAAAGGTGTGGGCTGACGAGACAGTGCCTTCCTAGTACTGTAGCCACTTGGCACAGAGACTCCGATTGAACTCTCTTTTCAAGAAATACTTACCAAAGGCCTTGGTGAAAAGCATTAAAGGTATTGGGTTATGATCATACAAGGTCTCAAATAGGAATAAGACTTGATTTGTTTGCTTGGCCTCTTCCTCCCACTGTAATTATTTTCCCTTTAGAAATTGCCTCTTCCACCTCTAGGAGACCTTGATACTACTACTTCTTCCATTGTTGGCCCATGTGATTATGGCATCCAACCAGCAACTTTCAAGGGGCTCTTACACACGGGTCCACTTTCCTGCACTAACAAGTGGAAGGGTAACATACACTTAGTAGTTATAGCTGTGGTTTGTCAAAAAGCCTCCCTCATAGTAATGCAAACTCAACTGAAGAGATGGAGGAAACAGTTCAAATCCTGCCTTCTGAATCTCCATGTCCTAGGTCTAAGGTTGGACTCCTGCAGATAACTGGACACTGGGGTATCTTTTACCTACTCTGCTATGGGCTGTTTTCCAGCACCTGAAACTGAATGAGTTTTAGTTAAGTCTGCAGATCAACCAAATATCCAGGGAAAAGAGACTGCAGGGGGAAGAGACCCTGGTACATAGGAGCAAGGAGGGTGGAGATGGTGGACATCTCTCCTGAAGTCCTTTTAATACTGTCAAAGATAACTAAATACAATCTGATGCAACACTATGTGGCTGGGGAATTTGCTTATTATTTTACCTGTTAGAAATACAGATGGGAGAGGCAAGCAATGAAGGGCCACACTGTTGCATGCAAATACATGTATGTGCTTTCTGTCCACTTATCCCTGGAGTTTCAGTTTGGAGGATATATTGTCATATGTCAGGAATGGCAGAATATCATTAGGTGATTTTTGTCATTAGGTAAACATAGGCAATGTAATCTTACAGGATCACCATAGCATCTGAGGTTCACAGATGACTGAAATGTTATATTTTGTGACACATGGCT